GCTAATATAACAGACGTCAATAGATGTTAGTCACAGCTTTTGCTTTTGTCTTTTTAAAAAGCTTTCTATCAAATTCTAAGAAAGAACATTAAAATTAGCAAACAAGTAAGGATTTATTAGATTATTTCTCACCTTCCATGGTTTGAATGAGAAATTAATATATTTTCTCCCCCAAGCCACACTCTTTCTATACAAAATACTATTTCTGAGCATAGGAAATAAAAGAATGTCTGGAAATTTAAAGGCAAAATTTGGGTGTTCAGGTATGGGGATGCTGTTGCGTTAGAGATGAAAACTGGTTTTGATCTAGCCTCCAGGCAGTTTTGTTTTTTATAGTCTTATTGTCGCTATATGCCATCCAGGCCTTGCCTTCAGCCCCTTTCTTTTCTTTCAGAGATTTGAAGCATCTCCTTTCAAATGCGATTGCCTGGGTTCAAACACCCAACTCTATCCACCTGCTCAGGTGTGTGACTTGGGCAGGCTACTCAGCCTCCTCAAGCTTCCAGTCTCCTCATCTGTAAACGGTGATAGCAATCCTGACGTCATGGAAGTGTAGCATATAACTGACTGACAGCATCTGACCCTCTTAGCTCAGATTTGGATGTAAATAGAATGTACTGACGGAGTGGCTGTATTTAGGAATTTTCCCAAGGCACGACTGCCATGCTTTGCTGATAATTTGACCATCTGGCTTCTGTTCTTCCTTGTCATGTCCTCCAAATTGAGCTTCTTAACTTTGACCTTTAATGGTAGTGATTTGCTGCCCCCTCCAGGTTAATGTGGAAAATGCGTAGAACATGTCATTGCTAACTGACCTGGTTAGACACTTAGGAAAAAACCCAGGCTGTCTTGGTGGTCCTGAATCCAGGAATGGGCAAATTGGCAAAATGCCAAAGTCCCCTTTTCTGAGACATGTGTTTTCTAAGGGAGTCTAATGAAATATTTGAATAGTATGCACTGAATCGTAAGTTTCCCTTATCTGAAATTTTGGAAGTACATATATTTCAGATTTTGGAGTTAAACTAAAAAAATTTTTTTTTTTAAATTTGGGAATATTTGCATGGACTTTACTGAGTGAACATGCTTGACTTGAAAAGCAAAAATCTAAAATGCTGTAAAATTTTAATGTTTATCAGATTAAGAATTCCCATCCTGTTCCAAAATCCGTTTAAATTCTTTTTGGAATTGATGATACTCATAAGACATCATTAACAACTTGATACTGTATTTCTCTCCTTGCTTACCTAGATTTGCAAAATAGTGTTTATTAAAAAGTGTGAGAGGGGTTGGTAAAATGGCTCAGTAGTTAGGAGTACTTTCTGCCGTTCCAGAGGACGAAGAAATCTCACAGCCACTGTTAGTACCTCCCCTCCATCAGTTCCCCTCAGTCCTTGGTTACAGTGATAATGCGGTTTCTCTTAGTGGGTTTACTTTCTGTGGCTATTTCACACTGTCTCTAGCATCTTTCCTTTTGTAAGAAGCTTTCTTGGGCCATATTTTATTATGTGTTAGAATTCATTTATTTTATGATTACATGATATTGTGTTGTATAGCTGTTAAACATTTTATTTACATATTAATTGATAAACAGTTATTTTCCTAATTTGACTATCTATTTCAAATATATTGCTTGTCCTGCTATGAATTTTTCTGGGTGCTTTCTTTTTTGCACACAGGATTCATATCTCTTGCTATTTTAAGAAGAAAATTTGTGGGCTAAAGTTACAGCTTAGCAGTGAAGAGCACTGGCTACTCTTGCAGAAGACACAGGTACAGTTCCCAGCACCCACATGGCAGCTAACAACAGTCAGTAACTCCAGTTCCAGGGGATCTGACACCCTGTCCTGGCCTCCATGGGCGTTGTGCACATCTGGTACACTTACATACATGCAGGCATTAATGCTTATATACATAAGAAAATTTAAAAAGTTTAAAAGATATTTTGCTATTGAAGCCATAGTTTAGTACTTGGATTTTGTTGGTCTTATTTTGATTTTGAGTCCTATTGTAAGTGAGAACTTCAGAGTTCTGAGCAAAAGATGAAAATAAAATGATTGTTAACTCTGTCACATTGGCTGACTGTGACTAGTGTGCTTGTCCCCCATCCTCAGTCCCTTGCTCCCTTTGTCGCACAGTCTGATGCACATGTGGGTACAGCATGCACTGAGCCAGTTCCTGACAGTACACAGTGCAGCAGTACCCTGCTTCACAATTTGATTTGGCCAGTGTTGAAGTGAGGGCACCAGTGTAGGAAGCAGAACTCCTGTGGGCCTCATGCCCAACCCTAGGGGGCCGGACTGTCTTCGCAAAACAAGGAGCTCTAAAGGGATTTCAAACCGAGATCAGATTTCTACTATAGAAAAATAGTGCTTGAACAATCCTTTCAAGATGTCTTAGAGAGGACTTAGGGAAGCTATTGCTCATTGAGCATTTCCATCTCCCAATCATACCTGTCAACTGTTGTCTCTGCATTCAAGAACCTAATTGAATTCTGCTTGCCATTGCAACGTGCCGTTTTTGAATAGATTTGTTTGTATTACTTCTCTTCTTTAGTAATTCTTTAGACATCTTGTGTGTAGGCTACTGTTTTGGTTCTGTCATGCTAGTGATTATTCTATTACGATTAAAAATTAGTAACAATAAACCCCATATCCAGTGCCTCTGTAATGTGTATGCAGCGAACACATGAATTTCATTGCTTCATGCATTTTTCCTAGTGTACCATGATGTTGGTCACCTATTCAGCAGTGTGGTTTTTCCTTTCTTCTTCCTCTTGCCCACACATCCTTTATCTGCTGCCTGGCATTGTGCTGGGAGGGGCACCTCATTGCTGATACAGCTGCACAAATCTGGTGGGAACAAGGGCGGTGATGCTGACTCAAGTCACCAGCAGGAAGAGGAGGAAACCTTCCCTGGGTCCCCTGTGGGCCAGATCTGTGACCTGGGAATGTGCGGGCAGCCTGTGGCTGGGGTGAAGCAAGAGAGGCCACCGGTATAAAGGTTAAGAAGGCACCAGAAAGCTCAGTAATCAAATCATATGTAAATACAGTTTTGAAAATGTCAGAATCAATGCAAACAAAATCTATACTCAACAAAATATCAAAAGTTTAAATAAAGGTGAGACCAGTAACTGAATTGTCCATGCAGAGCCACTTTGGACTCAGAGGCAAAAGGCACCATCTGCAGTACAAATTCTATAATTCTGCCTGTTTGAAAGTTTGACATTTTGTCCGTCATAGATTTTCCAAATTAACTTTAACTTAAAAAATTAGATTAAGGACGGTGTGGTGGTGCATACCTTTAATCCCAGTGCCTGGGAGGCAGAGGAATGTACATCTCTGTGAGTTCAAGACCATCCTGGTCTATGTAGTGAGTTCCAGGCCAGCCAGGGCTGGAAAGTGAGACCCTGTCTCAAAATAAAATAAATATTGATTCCTTTTTTCATCATCATGATAATGTTTCAAGTTGCTTTTTTTAGGTATTTGAAAAATGTGTGTGTGTGTGTGTGTGTGTGTGTGTGTGTGTACACACACAACTTGTGAAAGTTGGTTCTCTCCTCTCATCTTGGTCCCTGAGATGAAACTGAGGTCATCAGACATGGCAGCAGATGCCTTTACCCACTGACCATTTCTCTGGCCCCAAAGCAGCTTTCAGTTTATTTAGTATTACAGTTTGAGAGGATAGATACAGTTTGGGCTTGGTGGCCAGAACATGAGGTGGCTGTTTATATCACCATTCCATAGTCAGGAAGCAAAGAGAGACAGGAAGTGTAACGTGGCTATAAAACTTCAAGGCCCCAGTCACACTTCCTCCAGTCAGTCCCCACCTCCTAAAGGTTCCCCGACTTTCCAAAAACAAAGGCACCAGTGGAGGACCAGGTGTTCAAACACATGAGCCTGTAGGTAGCATTTGACATTCAAACCCTGACAAAATGCAATTAAGTTTTTTAATTGCCTCTTATCTATTTTCCATCTAACATTTGAGCCTGGCTGGTCTTTGACTAGGACTTGGGCAGGAAGAGGGGAGAGTTGAGGGCAGCTGCCTCCTTGGCTACTCTCTAGAAGCATGGCCTTATTTTACAGTGGACTGTTTCAGGGAGTGGGTACAGTGGATTTGGAAGTCTCTGTGATGCTGTTGGTCATGTCTCTCCTTAGAAACAGGTTCTGTGTTTTTCTTTCAGACCGTGTTCTTTCTTTCACAGGCTCTCACTGTGTAGCATTTGCTGGCCTGGAACTCAAGATTTTCTTGCCCCAGCCTCAGAGCTGGAACTGTAGCCATGTACCACCCAGCCCTGTGACTCTGGGTTTGAGACCAGCCAATCCAGTGACCCTGGGTTTTTTGTTTGTTTGTTTGTTTGTTTGTTTTTAAGGGTTACCAGGAGGTACAGTTTTAAAAAGCTGAAAACTGTTTCCTACCTTAACAACCCATGGAAGGAAGTGAAACCAACTTTCTTTAAGACATTTGTCCTGTGATTTTTATGGAGGTTGTCAGACTCTGGGTAACAGAGTTCAGTCTTCTCCCATGAACTAACTGATATGCAGGGTCTAGAATCGTTCATCTAGTTTGTGCTGATTTACTGGTGTAGCACTTTAAAGATAGATATTCTGTTTTTCTTTTTTGAGATAGGATCTCACGTAGCCCAAGCTGAGCTTGAACTTGCTCTATAGCTGAGGACAGCTTTGACTTTCGATCCTCCTTGTCTCGGCCTTCTAAGTGTTAGAATTATTGGCATGTGCCGTACTTGGCATAAAGATGGATCTTTATGGGATCCCATTCTTGACTTTTCCTCTGCTCTCATAATTACATTGTGACTGAGAGTGTGAGTAGAAGCTGAGCAAGGGTTGCAGCTTACTCTTCCGAGACGACCAAATCACCAACTCACAGAGAACATGTAGATCTAACTGCAGTGACTTTATTCTGGCTGGGACAGTGGAGCAGCCTATGAGGGAGTTTAACTTTGCCTTCACACTTTCCACTTCTCTTTTTCCTTAAACCCCAAGGTCTGCTGAAGACAGAGCCAGTGCCCGAGGAAGGAGAGGATGCTGTTGCTACACTCAGTGCCGCAGAGACCCTGACAGAGGAGGAGCAGGATGAGCTGAGACGGGAACTCACTAAGGTACAAGCCATTCCTTCTGGATTTCACGCTTTGCCTTTGAAATGCCCTGTCCTCTGTGAAAAAGCTTATGGTTGGCTCTGGAGGAGAGAAAGCACTATGAGCTTACACAGCCTTGTCTCAGGACAGAGGAGAGAAGTGATTCCAGTTGGGTTTTCACATGACAAAATGTGTGGGTGAGGTAGGTCTGAGACTCAGGGATGCAGTGGGAAGTGGGAAGTGCACAGCAAATCTTCTAGAAGACTTGGCTGTCGAACCTGTGACATACTCGCTCTGTCCTCGCTTGTGTTATGTCCCTCCTCTTCCTTCCTTCCTTGAGGCTTCTGCCTGATCAATTCTCTTCTTTCCTTGCTTCCTTTGGTAAAGTTCTTTTAGCATAAATGGTCCTTTTTAAAGTGTACAGTTCAAGATTCAGCACATTCACAATGTCAAGCAACTGTCACCTCTTCTAATTTCCAACCATTTTCCTCCCCTACCAAGGAAGCCCCTTTATACTCACTGAGCAGCCACTTCTAGCCTTCCCGGCCAGCTACTGTTCTCTGTCTCTATGGACTTAACTGTTTTCTGGATCTCTTATATACTGTTTGTGACCTTCTTTGTCTTTTTTCACTCATTGTGCTCAGTGTAACACTTTCGGGGTTCATTCCTGTTGTAGCATCTACCAGAATGTGCTCCTTTTTTTGTGAATGAATAATAGTCCATTGTATTTATTATCATATCGCATTTTTTTTCATACAACCATTGATGGCCACTTACAGTATTGACTACTGTGGATAACGAACTAGCAACATTTGTGTAGAAATACTTTTGTGAATTCAGTTGTTTTATGTCTATGCCTAGAAGTTGGATTATTCGCCCATATTGAGATTCCACATTTAGCTTCATTTCTAATTTTTGCATTTATTTAGGTTTTTTTTGTTTTTTTGGTGTGTGCGTTGCATGCATGTGTGTGCATGTGTGTGTGCGTGCATGCATGTGTGTGTGCATGTGTAGGCCAGAGATCAACCTCAAGTGTCATTCCTAAGGTGCCAAGTGCCATTCACCTTGTTTTTTTTTTTTTTAAAGGATAGTGTCTCTTACTGACCTGGACCTCACCGAGTCAGCTAGGCTGGCTGGTCAGCAGTCTTCAGGGATCTGATTGTCTTCACTTACCCAGCACTACCCATACTACCATGCCTGGGTGTTTTTATGTGGGTTCAGGGATCAAACTTGGGTCCTTGTGCTTATGCAGTAAGCACTCTACTGACTGAGTTATCCCCTCAGCCCGTTTTGTTGGTTTTTGAAAGTTTTGTGTCCTCAGGCTAGTCTAAAACTTCTGAACTGCTTTCACCTCCTGTGTGCTGGAATTACAGGCGTGTGCCACCACGGCTGGCTTTTGAAAACTTCCCTTTTCAATTCAGTCTCTCTTCATGTTATGGGTCAGTTTAGATTTTCTTTGTGGGCTGGTTTTGAAAATTTGTATATTTTTGAGGAATTTGTCCATTTACTCTGGGTTATCTAGTTTTTTGGGCTCTAAGTGCAGTATTCTTTTATAATCTTTGTTACTGCAGGGTTGGTATTACTGTTTCCATTTTCATTCTGGTTTTAGATATTTTTATCTTTTTGTTTCTCTTCAGTCTAATTAAAGGGTCTTTCAATTTCACCGATAACTTTTTGTATGTGTTCCCCTGTGTGTGAACACTTGTGTGCTGGTGCTGTGCATGTACATACCTACGTGTGTAGTGTGTATGTGTGGAGGCCAGAAGTTGATAACGAATGTCTTCCTCAATCATGCACCAGCGTGTTTACTGAGGCAGGGTCCTTTGCTGTACCTGGAGCTGGAAGCTGGGCTTGCAGGTCAGCTGCTGTGCTCACTTGGCTTTTATGTGGGTTCTGGGGATCTGAACTCCTGTCTTCACACTTTTGTGGCAAATGCTTTATCCAGTGAGCCACCTCCCCAGCCGTGATATTTTTAAACAATCTGCTTTTGGTGGTATTCATTCCCTGTTTTCCTGGTGTACATTTTGTTCATCCTTATTTATTAATCTCTACTTTCTATTGGCCTTGCATTTAGTATGCTGCTTTTGTTTTGTTTTTTTAAATATCTAATTCTTTAAGATAGTTCGTGATTTGAGATTTTTAGTTAACTTATTGTTTTGGGTGTGTACACGGAGAGTATGCATGTGTGTGTGGATGCACACGGGAAGGCCAAAGAAAAACTTTGTGGAGTTGCTATACTCCTTCTACCTTTATGTGGGTTCCAGACTTGTACAGGAAGTGCTTTGCCTGCTGAGCCATTTCATAGGCTCTGATTTGAGATTAAAATATATATATTTTTATTTATTATTTTTATTAGCTTGGAGGAGCAATGATCCTGCACAACAGATGTGGTGGGGGTCTTTGTAGCTAATGCCCTAGCTTTTTAAATATATATTTTTATTTATTATTTTTATTTTATGTGTATGAGTGTATTGCCTGCATGTGTGTAAGTGCACTTGTGTAATGCAATGTCCGTGGAGGTCAGAAGAGAGCAGCAGATCCCCTGGAACTAGAGTTATAGACAGTTGTTACCTGCCATGTAGGTGCTGGGACTCGAACCCAGGCCCTCTGTAAAAGCAGTCAGTGCTCTTAACCACTGAGCCATCTCTCCAGCCACTGAGAATGAATGAATTTATTGATTTTAGCAATACTGAGAATAAGTCTAGGACCTTGTTTATTGTAGGCAAATATTCTACCACTAAAGCTACATTCTGAGATAGTTTTTTTTTTTTAACATTTATATATATATTTATGTGTGTATGTTGTATGTGTATGTGTGGGTCCGTGTGTGCCACAGTGCATTTGTTTAGGTCAGAAGACAACTTGTAGGAGTTCTCTTCTTCCACTGCGTGGCTCCCAGGGATTGAACTCAAGTCATCTGGCTCGATGGCAAGTGCCCTTACTTGCTAAACCATCTTGCTGGCCCTCATCATAACTATTACAGTCACTCAAACTATTTTTATTACATTACAATAATTAGTGTAATTCATGACAAAAATATTAAAAACTTCAGATTGCTTCATAGCACATACTCCTATGAATATTTAAGTTAATTAAAAGAGTGGTCATTTTAAAATTTAATGTTTGATACGACCAACGTTCCCTAGGTCAGCACAACCAAAGGATGAAAAACAACTGCATCACACTGTTTAACCCTATGCCCTCCTCCTCCAAGCACAATATACAAAATATGCATGCTTCAGTTTACACTCTACAAAAACAGTTAAAATACATTCCAAGTAAACATATTGCCTTGAGAAATGGTACTAATAAGAAATTGGCACTTAAAGGAAAAATGAAAAAAAATATTTTTAATATGAAAATACAAGACAGTGGAATTGGAAACTGTCTGAGTTACATTTCCACTGCTGTGATAAACACCATGATCAAAGCGACTTATAGAAGGTAGAGTTTATTTTTCTTCCAGTTCTGAATGGAGACCACAATGGCTAGGGAGGCATGGCAGCAGGTGGCCGGAGCAGGAAGCTGAGCAATCACATCTCCAACCACAAATATGAAGCAGAAGGTGGGTGGGTGGGGGGGGCGGTGAGCCAGGCTGTAAACACTCAAAGCCCATCCCCAGTGATGTGCTTCCTCCAGCAAGGCTCCACCTCCTAAAGGTTCCATGACCTCCCTAAACAGCACCACCAACTGGGAACCAAGGGTTCAAATACTGGAGCATATGGGGGACATTTTCATTCAAAACACCACAGAAAGTTTTAGATAAAACACTATATGATGCATTTAGACTTGGGAGGGTGGACCCTCTGAAACTGACATTTTGGAAGATAACTCTGTTTTTCTTAAATTCATCTAAAGTGCTATCACCATCCCAAACAGACACTTCAAACATTAAAGTAAATCATAAATCTGAATCTAGTTACTTATAAGTCTTTGAGAACTGTTATATATCATTAGCAATAATTTTCACAATTTGGCTGAATTGTACAGCTATCAGGTGTTTGCTGTTCAGTTTCTCAATGCAGAATTCATGCTGTGCAGTATTAATACAGAAGTTATTAAGTATAAAGTAACTTCCATGCTTAAAAATGTTACTGCACAACTATCAAGAAATTACTTTTTAATGAGTAGAAATTACTTCAATTAATTTTTATTGCTTACAAAAAAAAACCACCCCATCCTAAATGTGTCTTGTTGTTTGGAAAAAATGGTTAGAAGAAAAATAAACCAGTGGAAAACAAATGAGATGAATTTGTGCAAACTGTAACTTAACACACCTCACAAAGCTTCTGTATATAGGACAAAATTGTGCAGTGGTGGCAAAGGCCTTGATAACCTATAAAATCTAGGTTCAGAATTAATGCAGACATTTACAGCTTTATGGTTCTGGCTCTGTTTTCATCGTATCCTGTAAACTTTAAATGTTGTCTCAAAGTATTTTCAAATGTCCTTTGCTGTCTTTCTTGACTTACAGTGTGTTGCCTTTCATGTTTATGAATTTTCTAATGTTTCATTTTGTTTTTTTTGACCTAAATTGTGGTTAGAGAAGGTACTTTGTATGGCTTAAAACTTATCAGAGCTAGCTGGGTGTTGTGGTGCAAGCCTGTAGTCCCAGCACTTGGGAGGCAGAGGCAGGTGGATCTCTGTGAGTTCGAGGCCAGCCTGGTCTACATAGTAAGTTTCAGGCCAGCTGGGGCTACAGAGAGACCTTGTCTCAAATGGACCCAAAACAAAACAAAAAAACCCACAAAAAACTTATCAGAGCTACTTTTGCTAACACAAGGTTGTCTCCTGAGGGCTTTCTAGGTGGATCAAAGAAAAGAGTGTATTTACAGTTTGGGGTGGAGTGTTCTATAGAACTTGGTTTCTGTTCTTCAGGGTTCTTCTGTCTGCTTGTATGGTCCATTTCTTTTCATGTGGTTTTGTAAACAAGGTGGAGATAGAATGTGTTGGGAGATTAGTGCTGTGAAGAAGGTAAGGATTAAAACTACTGAGTTATTTAATGCATGACTTACATTGTTTTTAAAAAGAAAAAAGTTTTCCCATAAGTTGTTTACTGTAGTAACATAAAAAATGAAAAAAATGAGTGATCTGTGAAATATTTAGATTATGTTCCCAGATGTCTTCCTTGCATATATTGCTACATTGTATTTAAATAATCTACAATATCAGGACCATTTTTACCTTGTCTTTTTCTTTTTTCTTTTTAAGATAGGGTTTCTCTATAGCTCCAGCAGGCTGAAACTCACTGTAGACCAAGTTGGCTTCATCTGACAGAGATCTGCCTGCCACTGCCTCCTGAGTGTTGGGATCAAAGGCATGTAACACCACACCCAGTTCTGTGTATGAATGTTTTACTGCATCTATGTAAGTGCACCTGTGCTGTGGAATGCCTGTGGAGCCCAGAAGAGGGTGTTGGATCTCCTAAAACTGGAGTTGCCCAAGTGGGTGCTAGGAACTAAACCCAGGTCCTCTGTAAGAGTAGCTAGATCTCTTAACTGCTGAGCCATCTCTCAGCCCCCATTTTTAACTTCTTCAAGCTCATTTTTAGAATCTTCACAGCTGCCCTGAGTCTTATATTCAGATCTTCATGAATTCCAGTGAGCCTGTATTCTTATATTAGTATACTTCAAGTTTACCAAATTCCTCCCCAAACTTCCTGATATAATAGAACACTGTTACTGTTACCTCTGATTATGTATAATAATAATAGTTATTATTATAGATACCATACTAATTATTTGCATTTAAAAGAAATGATAGTTTCAGTTTGGAAGGTATTGCTTAAAGTAGTTGTAGAAATTTCATTGGAATAGAGATTTGTGTGGGTGGGTGATGTAGCTGCACAGATGGACAAGTGGAGGCCAGAGGACACTCTGGTGTTATTCCTCATGTACCATCCACTGGCTTTTTGTTTGTTTTTAATTTTTTTTTTTTTTTGAGACAAGATCTCTTGGCCTGGAATTTATATAGTAGGCTAGGCTGGCTGACTAGCTAGGATGCCCCTGGCGTCTGCCCGTCTCTGCCTCCCCAACACTGGGATTGCAAGTACATGCCACCCTCCTCCCCCTTTATTCTACATGGGTTCAGAGAATCAAACTCAGGTCCTGTTTCCATCAGAAGTACTGACTGAGCTATCTCTCCAGCCCAGAATGGAAATATTTGCTTATATATTATCAGATCCATCCTTTTAAAGTGGTTTACTTCTATTCACAGAATTGTACAGTCATCACCAGAACATTTTTACCATGCCGAAAAGAAACCCTCCTTTCCTCAGCAGTCACTTCTACCCTGTTCCCCATCCCCTAGCAACTGTTAGTGTCGTTTCTATCCATAGATTCGCTTGTCCTGGGCATTTCATATAGATGCATTCATATCTTGCAGTTTCTTGTAGTTGCTTCTTTTACTTAGTATGATGTGTTCAGGCTTCATCCACATTGTGGTATGTACCAATACTTTTTAAATTTTATGTGTATGAGTGTATTGCCTGCATGTATGTGAGTGCACCAGTGTTGTGCAATACCACGGAGGTCAGAAGAGGGCTTTGGATTCCCCTGGAACTAGAGTTAAGGATGGTTGGTAGCCGCTATGTGGGTACTGGGAATTGAACCCGGGTCCTCTGCAAGAGCAGTCAGTGCTCTTAACCACTGAGCCATCTCTCCAGCCCCATACCAGTACTTCTTATAGCTATAGTACTTCTATAGTTCATGGTCTGGCCACATTTTGTTTCTCTATCCATTAGTTGACAGTCATTTAGGTTGATTTCACTATGGAGTTGTTAGACAACAATAGACATTTGTCTGGGGACATATATTTTTCAATTTTTACATTCCTACCAGTAGCATTTCCAGAACCTACCATAGCCTTCTTCTTAAAATTTTGAGGAACTGCCAAACTGCATTAGCACATGAGGATTCTGGTTTTTCTGTATCCTGCCAGCACTGGTTAATGCCTCTCCCCCCCCCCCGGTCTTTTTGAGACAGGATCTCCCTGTAGTCCCAGCTAGCCTGTAACTGGCTATCGACCTGGCTGGCCTTGAACTCACAGAGATCTGCCTGCCTCTGCCTCCTGTGTGCTGGGATTAAAGGAATGTGTTTTCTTTTAGGCAATCTTAAGGAAGATATGAAGTACTTCTTTGATTGATATTTCTTCAGTTACTAATGAATGATGCTGTTCATCTTTCTTTTCATTTGCCTAATGGTTGTTTATCTTCTTTTGAGAAATGTCTAATTCATTTGCCAGTTTTAAAATTGGATTATTTATTTGCCTTTTTATTTTTGAGTTGTGACTTTCTTCAGGTGTCCTGGATGCTACAGATACATTTGAAAGAAAATTTGGAGATATTTACCCTGTTCTGTCAGTTGTCTTTTTAGCTCATGATAATGTGCTCTGAAGCACAACAGCCTGTGATTTTTGGAGGGTGGGTGGGTGGATTTGAGGAGCTCACTGTGTAGTCAAGGATGACTTTGAACTCCTGCACCTCCTGCCATCACCTCCCAAGTGCATCACTATGGCTTCAAGAGTTTTTAGTTCTGATAAAATCTGTTTTTTCCCCCTGATTGCTTGTACTTTATATATCTACAAAAAATCGCCTAAGTCAAGGTTTTGAAGATTTGTATCTGTGTTTTATTCTGAGAGTTATATGGTTTACTACTAAGAGCTTTTTTCTCTATTTTGACTTAATTTTTGTGTGTGGACTGAGTGAAAGGCTTAGCTTTATTCCTTTTGCATATGAAAACTAGCTAAGTCACATTTGTAAGGGAGTGAAAAAGCCCTGTTCTTTCTCTACTAAGTTCTCTTGTCATGTGTGTCACAAAGCAGTTTGTTGTAAATATATGGGTTTATTCCTGACTCTTAATTCTTCTGTTCCACTGGTTTATATGTCTGTTCTTATGCCAAGTACCACAGCCCCCATTACTGTGTCCTCACAGTAACTTTTTCGCTCACTTTTTTTCTTTACATCAGTTGTGTTCTCCGTGCTCTTGAGGTCATTCTTCCCTCTTCCTTCCCTCCACCCCTAGGGAATGAGGGGATTTTGGCTGCCACATGTGCTGTATGTAAGCACACACTAACCAATAAAAGCGAGGCGTTTAAGACACTGGGTTGTGCATTGTTGGGAAACACTGCAGTGGTCTTTCTGTCTATAGAACTTTGGTTGGGGTAAGGAAAGAGGCAATCAGCCAGTGATTGGAAGTGCCCTTTGCAAACCTAGGTGGAGACTCTGGCTCCTCCACCATTGTTTAATAACTGGGCGAATCCTACAACTCACTGGTTTTCAAACATATTCATTCCTCCTGTTGCCGCCGCCTCCTCCTGCTCCTGCTCCTCCTCCTCCTCCTCCTCCTCCTCCTTTTTTTTTCTTTTTGCCTTTTCTTCTCATATTCTACATTTCAGTCAGTATCTGATGTCTGCATTTGGTGTTAATATTTTGAGTTCTCTGAGCACAGAGGATTGTGTTTGTTTTGGCCTCATCTGCCAATTAATGCCATCTCAGAACTGCATTGGTAAGTTGTCTCTCCTCTTCCCCTCTGCTCTCTGTCTCTCTTTCTGCAATCTCTTCACGTTATTTATCCTTTTTTCAGTTGTTGATCAGTATATTTACTTCTTGTTCTTTGAAGATGTAATTATCAAGGAAAACAGTTGACTCAGCAGTGCTGTCTGCTGTTTTCAAGGGTCCTGTTGGCTTTGAGATCGTAGTAGTATGCTGCAGGTCAGGGCTGAGGATTAGCTTTGCAAAAAGCCAAGGGGAGCGGTTCTACAGGGGTCTGTAGTGTTGATGAATATCCCTTAGGAATCCAGTTTTTCAATTTTCTGTCTCTGTGTGGTTCTTCTCTCCTTCTGTGAGCCTGCCCTTTCTCATTTTCTTGGTACAGCCTTCTCTTCTACTTTGCATTTTGGCTTCCAGCACATCCCACAATCTCACTGTGCTCTAGCTACACCTCCAAGCATCTTCTTCCAAATCTTTTCAGTTCCTCATTATTATCTGAGTTCTTCAGACAGGCTCCTGGAGGAGAGAGATTGATTAGTTTAGTGCATCTTTTCATACCAAACATGTCACCAGCTCTTAGCAATGGGATGGATGGTTGTTCTTGGGTCAGGAGCCCACACAGTAACCCTGGTGGCGGGGGGGTCTCTGGGGGAAGATGCATTGGCAGGCACTGATGTTGACAGATCCACTCTTAGGAAGTATACAAGAAGGTTGGATTTTGGTGGTAAGAGATGGAGATTATTTTTATCTAGTATGTAAACAGGAATTTTTATGGGCAGTTGGGTAGAAATATCTAGTAGGAAAGTTGGGTCAGAGGTCAACAGAGTAGGTACTAAGAGTGACTTGAGTGTTACCCATGTAAAGGTTTGAAGCCTCACAGTTCCTGGGATAACAGAAGGGAAGACAGAGGACAGTTGACAGGGATATAAAGAACAACTCTGCAGGAGAGAGCCTTATGGACCCAGTTTACATTTTGTGTGTAAAGAGACACAGAAATGAATTGAAAAAAAATGTAAATGACGGTAGCATTTGAGTATAGTTTTGTTCAGATACCCTTAACTTACAGAAGACTCACGCTTTATTCTTTTCCTCAACCCTGTTCCTCATAGGTAGAAGAAGAAATCCAGACTCTGTCCCAAGTGTTAGCAGCAAAAGAAAAGCATCTAGCAGAGATCAAGCGGAAACTTGGAATCAATTCACTTCAGGAACTCAAGCAGAACATTGCCAAAGGGTGGCAAGACGTGACAGCAACATCCGCGTATGTTCCCTCCCATCGTACATGTCTCTAGACAATGTAAAGGGCACTTGCGCCCTTTCTTTGAGGAGAAGAAGGGGATGAGGACATCTCCACAGCTTTACTTTGCATCACACAGGGCTCTTTCTTTCCAGTGCTCCAGGATAGCTGGCTCTTTTCTAACTTTGGTTTTCCAGAACATTCTAGTGGAGAGAACAAAGCAGCCTCATGTACAGGTTAAAGGAATAGTTTTCAAGCCTCAAAATGTGAGCAGTAGTCTCTCCCCACCATGTTTTTTCTTTCTGAGTTTTTCTTTTTTTTCAAAAATATTATTTTTATGTGTATATGTGTATTGCCTGCGTGTATGTAAGTACACCCGTGTTCTGCAATGCCCAGGTCAGAAGAATGTATCAGATCCCCTGGAACTGGAGTTGTGGACAGTTGTGAATCAAGGCATTTACCAAATACATTGGGGAGCCCATGGGTAAATGGTTACAGCAAAGTACAGCGAACTCTGCTGTAGGTGTTGGAAGCTGTCAGATAACATTCTTGGCTTTTGCATTAGTGGAAGCTCATGGTCTGCTAAGAATACATTTGAAAAGTTTTGATAGTCATAGGATATTAGGTCAGACACAGAGGTAGACAATGAACTGCTTTCAAAGGGACTAAAAATAGCTCAAGATACTTTGGGTCTGGCCTGCAACATTTTCTCTTCATAGTCACAAAATTCAGTCATTTGGTCTCAATATCTTTTTGTGTTCATGGGTGTCCGTGCAAGCACAAAGGTCAAAGGATAACTTTGGTGTCATTCCTCAGGCACTATCTTTTTTTTTCTTTTTTTTTTTCTTTTTGGTATTTTTGAGACAGGGTCTCCCTGTAGCCCCAGCTGTCCTGGAACTTACTATGTAAACCAGGCTGGCCTTGAACTCACAGAGATCCGCCTGCCTCTGCCCCTCAAATGCTGGGATTAAAGGCATGCGCCACCCTGCCCAGCCTTTTTTTTTTTTTTTTTTTTTTAAAGACAGGGTCTCTCATTGACCTAGAACCCACCATGTAGGCTAGATTGGCTGGCCAGTGAACCCCAGGGCTCTGCCTAGCTCTGCCTCCTCAACACTGGGATTATAGGCATAAGCCATTGGGCTTGACTTTTTTTTTTTTTTAACATGGGTTTTGGGCATCAAACTCAGGTTCTTGCACTTGGAAGGGTAGCACTTCATCTCCTTAGCCCCTGGCCTTGTAGAATCTTTAATGGAGCCATAGCTTTTCTTTCGGGGATTTGGGGGGTACTTTGCAAGCTCAACCCTGGTTCCTTAGTCCTTTCCTTCTAGGCCTCTGTCTTTCTCTCTGCTCCAGGGCACTGCAGAAGATTGTGATGAAAGGATTACTGCTGTCTTGACGGTTGTGGAGGACATTAGAAGCTCTCAAAACTGTTTTATTCTTGAGTTCTTCAACAGGTGATGACTATTGCAAGAATTGATAGTAGAAAAGCTTAGCTGACTTTTTCCCTTGTTTTTTCATGATTGACTATAGATACAAGAAGACATCTGAAACCTTGTCTCAGGCCGGACAGAAGGCTTCGGCTGCATTTTCATCAGTTGGCTCAGTCATAACCAAAAAGCTGGAAGACGTAAAGTATGTCTGCATTTTCCTTGCTCATGGAGTTGCTGGGGCAAACTGAACTGGGACCATGGTTGCTTTTGGCTAGACCTGTCTCATGGTACTGTGGGGTTGTCTGCTGTTAGAGTGAAGGAGGGCACTCTTTCAGAGACCCAAAATGTTTGCCTAAATTCTTCCAGGCCTTACATTCTAACTTCCAAAATGATTATCTTAGCTGGGCATGGTGGCACATGCCTTTATTCCCAGCACTTGGGAGGCAGATGGATCTCTGTGAGTTCTAGGCCAGCCTGGTCTACATAGTGAGTTCCAGGCCAGCCAGTGCTAAAAAGTGAAATCTTGTCTCAAAAACAAAATAAAACAAAACAAACAAAAACCCATCTCAAATTGATCATCTTATGAACCCTTTTAAGGACTGTTGAAAAATTCTGGTTGCAAACTCTAGCATCTTTTTAATCTTTCTTGATCCTGCAGTATTTGTCTGGTGTTTGCAACATTGTGATTGTGGGGCAGGGTGGGGTGTCTTTCTGGGGATGAATATAAGAGCATTGAAGTGCACGCTTGGCCTGTGACCCAACTTCACCTTATGTGGCGTTTTTACACCATGGTGTGCTTACAAGGTGTTTATTCGTGCTCTGGTTTGCACTAACCCATCAGCCATCCCTACATTCATGCTTAGGGCCAAATCTTGATTTTGAGCTTTTTTTAAAAACAAATTATGCATTGTGTTTGAGATTAGTTTCAGAATTTCCCTTGTCATTTTGGTGAAAGTACTTCATGGTGCGTTTGTGCCTCCGTCTATCGCCATTATTAGACTAGTGCTGACAGTGATACTTGTGGCTCATGCTGGCTGTGCTTCATGTTGGTGTGCACAATTTCTGTTTGTTTTTTTCCAAGCTCAGATTGCATGACTTTGTGGTTTTTGTTTGTGGGGAAAATAGATTTTACAACCAGAATTTTGTTAGTTGAATTGATTTATTTAATCAGTGTATTATACCGTGCATTAAAATATATCTCTTGTTCATTGTATACAGAGCATCATTGTTCTCCATGCAATATCATAAGGATAGCTTTCCTGAATTCTTGGATAATTATGTGTACATAGATATCCGTGAGGCTCTCTCCTTTCTCTTTATGTTGACTGAATTTGTAGTGCTTTACAGCCTATGCATAACATGCAGCCTTGTAAAATAGGTTATTTAATTCTGTTAGATTCCTCAGAACTTCCTTTCTTTTTTAACGCTTACTCTGGCTTCTTACAGATTGCAAGCCTTTTCACATTCCTTTAGGTAAGGAGAGTTTGAACCCCCACTGCTGCATAGCAGTTGTGTGAGATGAGTGTGCAAGATTAGATGATTATGCCTCCGTGGATGCTCGTGTGTGTCCACTGTGTGACTTTTTTGCTTTTGGAGTATCTTTTTCTCCAGTGCATTTCTAATCCTAAGGGAGGTTTTCTTGTATACCATGCGTAATGGATGAATTAAAAGAAGAATTTGACACTGTGGTACAAGGGATATGGAAATGTTTGTGAAGTTTCTTTTTATTTTAACCATGGCATACAAAATTCCTCCCTTTTAATGTCTGACTTTGTTTTTCATGCTTTTGTTTCTTTGGTGCTTTTGGAAAGATGTTGGAATTCTCCTTCATGTGGGTCCCATTACGTAATTATAATAGACTGCATATGTATTGCTTTGTGATGTTAAGTCTTCTGTTTTATATGGGTTACGCTACTCTTTTTGTGTGGTAAGACAGACATAAGAAATCCTATGTACTTTTTAATATTTGTTTTATTAGCTTGTAGTTTTTACTAATATTTCTTTACTAGTTATTTAAGCATGCAAGGTAGTTTCATGGTTTACAAAGGGGAAACTGGCATTAAAAAGTCCAAGCCATGCCTGTAGGAGTCCCTGTGATGCTGAGCAAAACTCTCCTTTCCACCTACAGACTCTGATTATTATACGTAGGTGTTGGATGAATCAAATGGAAAATTTTAAGGTGTGAGCAGAGAGGGTGATACTGCAGTCTCCGTCTCTTCCTAGTGATTCTGCACATTGTCTTCTCAAGGGTTCCTTGCTTGATTTAGCTACTTTCATTTTTTCCCGTCTTCCTTTTTTTTTTTTTTTTTTTTTTTTTTTTCCCCTTTTCCTTTTTTTTTTTTTTTTTTTTTTTTGGCTTGTTAACTTTTTAGATCAGATTACAAAATATATGTCGCCATACACTGTTCTCATTCCTCCCTCCTGTCTCCTCCTCTCAAATAGTCCTCTGCTGTGCTTTTCATGTCACATGAATTCCATTACCCTCTAATGTGCCCTTTCCTCCACCCTCCCTTAAGAGCTCTCTTCCCTCTCATTGTCCCCTCCCTCCCTCCCTCCTTCCCTCCCCTCTTCCCTTCTCCCTCCTACCTTCTCCCCACCTCTATTCTTCATGTACATGCTCATGTAAGCCAACAGATACAGCTTCAGTCTTGGTGATACCTAGTCTTGGAAGTCACAGTAAACCATGGAGATGTATGAACTCTCTTTGTTCAACTATTTAAAGCTAAAATAATGCTTTAAAGAAAATCAAGTAACTGGATCTGGAGAGATGGGCTTGGCAGTTAAGAGCACTGCTGCTCTTGCAGAGGACCTGGGTTTGGTTTCCAGCACCCACAAGGCTAGCACCCATCTTTAACTCCAGTTTGAGGGGGACCTACACCCTCTTCTGGCATCCTTGGGCACCAAGCATGAATGTGGTGCACTTATATACATGCAGGCAAAACAGTCATACAGATAAAATAAATAAAATCTTAATAAAAAATTAAATAACCAGTGATAAGAAGTGACTGTGTGAAAAACGCCATAGGCAACGGAATGAGCATTAAATCACATGTCATTCTAATGAAAGAGTGCCTGCTGTGGCCAGATCCGAAGGCTATAACTGTAAATCAGATACAGGTTTTGTTAGAATAGAACTTAAAATCTTTGATTAAAGTAGAAGAAGGACTCAGGGCCTTGGAATAGCTTAAGAATGAAGAGCCTGCAAGTACCAATCATAGCAGTGTTGGGTGTGACAACACAAATAGAAAATACAGCAGCATGCAAGGCCTGTGAGAGAATGGCATATTTCATCTTAACATACCATTCTTTCTTTACATCATTAACAAGATTAACTTCATGTGTCTAGGTACTGTCTGTCTTATTATGTGTCCGAAACAAATTAAGTTTTGCTGTTTTTTTTCTAGTTCTTTGTAAGTTACTTTATTTCAATTAAAGTATAATTGAGATTATATTACACTGTTTTTTCTTTTTTAAAATTATTATTTTTTTGACAATTTCATACACGTGTATAATGCATTCTGGTTGCTCTTCCCCCATCCTGTCTTATTTCCCTCCTGCCCATGTCAACTCATCTTCCTTAAAAATCTCTTTCTCATATTCATTAGATTTGTTTTGTTTGGTTACCCCAGAGTTTAACTAGGGTAGATATTATAATTCTGGGTTTGCAACTCACCATCAGAGCCTGGAGCCTGGTGGGCTTACTAGTGGGTATACAACTAGATAGTATTTCTCCCATTCCCCAGAATCTGTTGGTTGCCAGTAGATCAACATTAAGTGGTAGGGGCCAGCCCCTTCCTCAGTCATAGCTGTCAGGAGGGCCTAGTACAGTAGGCACAGCTGCTGTGAGTTCATGATTGCCATGGCCATGTCCTGCTTAGAAGATGGTCCTTTTCATAGCCCTTTCCCTATCTTCCAGCTCTTCTGCCCTCTCTTCTGCAATGTTGTCTGAGCTCTAAGGGGGTGGTATAAGTGTTTATCTTGTTTTTAATGACTAATATACTGTACCAATATGTGGAGTTCAATAAGTCTTTGTATGAATACTTAGGAGTGAGAGAAAGAAGAGTCTCTCCTAAACTGCTTCTTAGAGATCGAAGGTTGGCTAAAGTCACTTAATCAGATTTCATGTGTTCAGATTATATAAGGAGAGAAAAATCACTTCTTTTAGATCATGTGAGTCATAGTGTCCACATTTCCCTAAGAACCATCAAGGAGATATGGCTGCCTCCCAGTCCTCACAAGACTCCTTCTGGTAGTGGGGTAGGGGTGGTGAGATGATGTATACCAGTCATTCCTTTTGCCAGTTGCTTTGCAACAGATGTTTAATCCCATTAACTATTTGTTCCAAGTCCCTCTTGTGTGACAGACTTGGGCTAGTGATTTCATGCTGATGTAATTTTGGATACAGAAGGAGAAATGTATTACTTTCGCCAAGTCAAACATAAGACTCAGCAAGAGTTTTTGTTTTGCATAGTCAATTAGAGTTAACATTTGAGATTTAGACATTTGTCATAACCATGGCTTCGTTGGAAGATAAGGGAGAGAGAAAGGAAGTAGAGAGAGAAGTAGGGCAGGAAAAAGGGAGGGAGGGAGAGATTGGATTGTGAGAATACCTGCTTCTGATGTCTTGAGATACGGGCTCATCCAGGTTGGGGTCCAGTACAAAGTAAGGAAACAGGCTGTTTCTTTAGAAGGGGCTGAAGGAATCCCACATGATGATTAGAGTTCTGATATTATGAATTTAGAAGAATCTTTCTCATTAATCTCTGCCTTACAAATAACAAAAGATCAAGTAGAAAAGAACTAGTAAATTTCTCCTCCAGTGTAGTCTTATACCCAAGATACGGACACAGCACATGCCCTCCTCTATATGATAGAGACACTTAACTGTGTGAGGTAAACAGCCAGGTACAGCAATGTCCATGTATTATATCAATTCTCTTGATTATATAGTCTTCTGGAATATTTTAATGTGCATCAACATCATACTCTATGTAATTACGTAGTAATATAAAACTAGACTTGAGCTATATCTGCAACACACTGCCATTTCTAACAACTGAGTCTTTGAGGAAACATAGTCATAAACACACAAAATATTTTAATGTAATTGAGGATTACTATCTTGAATTATTTGCTTTACCCAAAGGAAAGATTATTTGCCACGTATCTTTGTCAGTGATCAAAATATTGTGTGCATAATAACAGTATGAGCAGAACATGGAGGTTTTTTAAGAAGCCTAAGAACGAACGTGCTTTGAGCTGGTGAGCTGGTCTCTGGGGAAAGTGGCTGAGCTGGCTTGAAAGCCTGAACCATCAGTGAGCTACAGTGTTCTTGAGTAGAATTTGAACCCTGTAATACAGAAAGCCAACATGTGCTTGAAGAGAGTTTGAACAGAGTATATGCAAGTGTATTAGCTACTTTTATGTTGAAAAAACAAACAAAAAAAAACGTGACCAAGGCAACTTAGAGAAGGAAGAGTTTATTTGGGCTTAGGTTCCAGATGGATGATCCATCATGGCCAGGGATGCATGGCAGGAGGCAGTAGAAGCAGAAAGCTGAGAGCTCACATCTTCAACCATCAGCAGGAAGTAGAGAGAGCAACCTGGAAGTAGGGCAAGACTATGAAGGCTCAAAACTGGTCCTGAGTGACACAGCTTCCTCCAGCTAGGCCACACCTCTTAAAGGTTCCACAACCTTCCCCAAACACTACCACCAACTAATCAAGTGTTCAAACACTTGAATGGGGGAGGGGGCAGTTCTCATTCAAACCACCACAGTAGATGTCTCTTATCACAGTGCAGATATTATTGCTAAGGGGTGATATGGAACTTATCAGAGCTATCATAAAAGTGATTTATTTTGAAACCTGCCTGTCCCAGCCTGGGAACAAATACCTAGAGAAAGGTGGTCACCCTGACCTTTTACTGGCTTGCT